TATATAAATATATTTGTTAAAATATGAACTTAGATACCAGTAACCGGTACTAATATTTAGTTTTATATGAAAATTATATATAATGGGAGGATGTAAGAACTGGTTCATCTAAAAACTTTGACATTTTGGAGTCGAGAAAAGTTTCATTTACTGTGAGAATTTCCTCGTCTGTTAAGTTCAATTTAGTTTTAAAATATGGCATGGAATAAACCAAATCTAATAACTCAGATTTTGATTCCATATTCGGAATTCTTAAAGTCATCATAGAGCAATTCTCAATTAAATCAACTACAGTTAAATATCCTAGGTTCAACATATAATCGAATATCAGTGATTCATCTCTAGAACACAGATCAGTGTATGAATCTTGATTGAATATTTCCTTCAGTCTTAAAATATCTTTTATTGTTATTTCTTTTACAGCTGCAACATTTATAGCACAATTTTTAACCAAAGCTTTTACTTTCCTCCTAATTCCTTTGTTGAGAAATAATTTCTCCAGCTTTTTAGGATATTTACCTTTTTTGGAGTATATGTCTATGTCTTTCCTAAACATAACATTTGATATGGAATTAAAGCTATACATTTTAAGATCACTTTTGGGAATTTTATAGCCGTTGTACCAAACTTGAATGGTGGTCAAATTATTTTTTAGCCCAAATATTTCAGCTAAATTTATCACATCAGCCTCTGTAAATCCATAAAATTTATTAAAAGAATGTTTTTCAGAGTGAATAAAATGGCTTATCTTGCCAACACCTTTAGTAAATACTCTACAAAATCTTGAGGAAGAATTTATTACAGTTTTTGCAATCAAATTAGAATTTAACGTATGCTTCACCAGATCAGCAATGAAGGTGATTATTTCCTCGGTGTTGTCACAAATGTTCATTAGTTGACCATGGATTATAGAATCTATTTCATCAATCAGCAATATTACCTTTTGGTTAAAATATTTGTACAACATTGAAGTTAAAAACGTCATACTTTCTTTTAGCTGTACAGGTTCCAGCTCCCTACATATAACGCTAAATTGGTAATTTCTAAACATAACCTTCTCTTTATCACTTAACTTAACACTACTTAGTAAATAGCTATGGTAGTTGAAAAGTTCATTGATGATTTTGACAAAAGATTCTTTAAATTTGCTCCAGGATTTGAAATCAAGCTGTGTAAAATCAACATGTATAATAGGATACTGTGCAAAAAATGCATTAAAAAATTTCTTGTCTTCATAAACATCTAAATGCGATGGAATCCTATTTTTTAAGTATAAGCTAGCAAATATTTTAAAGTATTTTGTATTATTTCTCGCAACAAAACCACCATCTTCATCCACTTGTATCTCGTAGAAACGCCTCATCATGTCCATATTTGTTGTTTTTCCAAATCCCGCAGGAGCAGAAATCAGCAGAATATGATCAACTTCATGGGAGACTAATTTTATTAAAGATGTTTTGTCAACAAAAAGTTGAGATTGAACAGAGTCCTGTTTGTCCCCAGAAACATTTCCTCCGAATTCCTAGAGAAGCATTAACAAAGACCATTTTATGTTGGGTAGTTTTCATACTACCAATAAAATTTTATAACAAATATTTACAGAGCACAAATATTGTCTTAGACTAGCCGGTTGTAGGTTAGTAACAAAACAACAAGAGCCATTTCACCATTTCACCCATACCACACTCATCATTAATTCACATTTGGTTTAAAATAAGTTCAGTTGCATCCTTCATTATCATTATTTCCATTATCATTATTTATTATAAATATAGGTAAGAACACCACCTAGGTATGCGAATTTTAACCCAAAATGAGTGTAGAATAGAGTGCTTTTTCTAGTAGGGCCTTGGTGAGATGGTCTGTGTAGCTTTGTTACTGGCTAAGATCAGATGTTTCATTGGACAGGATTGATTAATTATGTGATTTACTGTATAAAAATGTTTTTGGAAGGAAACAAATGATTTATTTCTTGTAAATAAAGTTGGTAAGATGGTAAGAACTATAAATCAGTTAAATTTGAAGTGCTGCACCCTGTTGGTAAACCTTGTAACTTGTTAATGCTATTGATCACCACAGAATCAAATTGTTTAGTTGAAACAGCTGTTAAGATTCTTAAGGGCTGTTAAACGCTTTTGACGGATCTGCACCAAACTTCACACAAAACTTAAATAGTTCTTAATAAAGCCTGAAAGTTTTATTGCAATTTGAGGAGTGATTTCAGAGTCCATAACGTAAATACATACATACTTCTTCTCTTATAGATTTAGAATGTTTTTGGGTTGTCCCAATTTCAAGAGCTTTAATTAGTACCTAAGGTTCCCTAGGCATTTGTTTGCCTTACAGGGGTGAACTACAACATCAAGAACACCGTTAAAAAATAACTAATATATAATATGGTAAACAATAACCATACAATCATTTAGTAAACAAAACTCACCATTAAAATTGTGACACTAAATAGCAAAACTGTTTTTAAGAACATAACTTACAGGCCAAAATAAAAACAAATGTTTCCACATAGATAATGGTAGAATTAGTTGTAATGTTAGTAGTAATGAGATGTACTATCACATAATGTTAGTTGAATGTAGTAGAACCACAACACAACCGCACTTTACACTGTCACTTTAAACTATATTATGTAACTAAGTCACATCAGTTATCAGTTTAATTGTAGGCTTCAACTTTAAGTAGAATAAATATATCTGAATAGTAGTCTTTATAATATTTAGCTTTTACAATATTAACAACTACAATATTGTGATTTCCCTCTTCAGAAATTTGCACAAACTATTAACCCTTTTAGCTTTAGGAATAAGCCCACTTTGGTTTAATAATTCAAATGTTTTATCAGGTGTACCCTAAGGTACCATTTAGGTAGGTATCCAGAGTGAAATCATATCTGCCTTAAATAAAATCAAGCCATTCAACAAAAGGTTCAAAAATTTTTATTCGTAATATGTATTAAAATACTATACCAGTAATCTCTAATGAATACAAATATATTCACAAAGTCAATAAACACAAGCGAACCCCTGTGATCACCTCCAATTATTCCTCATCAGAATCTTCCTCCTCTTCTTCAAATCGCCTCGGTGGTCGTTTTCGATGGGGGACAAAATAATCACGAAGAATGATATAATCAAACGTCATCGCAGCAGCGACAGCCAACAGTAGACAACTCATGACAAACATTTCTGGTAGAAAGTCATTGTCTCTCGTGTTCACTATTCCCATGGTGCCAGATATGATGTACATGCATATTCCAGTCAACAAGTATACTTGCTGTATCAGCTTGGAAGGTATTTGGTTGATGATGAAAAGCACGCAGATGCCTGACAGAATGACGTTGTAGGTGGGAATAGTGAAGTAGAAGATGGCCGTGGCATGAGCACTATACACAGGCAGCATCCTTCCCTCCACTCCAAGCGTGAACGTATCCAAGCAGTAGAAGTTAATGCAAAGCGCTAGAATTTTAAACATGAAGTTAAAGTGGTACATTCGAGTTGTCAAGAACCCTTTAAACACCTCACCGATGTCACAATCCACCATTTTTGTGGTTTAAATTTGTAAAGGTAGTAGTTTGATGTTTGTTTACTTCTGCAGGTTAAAAATAAAACATTGCAGGCTACAGATGATTAGATTTTTTTAAACAACAAAAAAGAAACATTGATTGTTATTTAAACACAATTATTCAATGTGAGCAAGAATATTAATTTTTTTCCACCAATATTCAAGATAACTGTATAGTACAGATTACAGAATATTCACAAAATCTTTATATAGTAAATTCACACCATCTCAATCCTGTGTAATTATCTAGAGTATATTGTGTATCAGAATTATAGACTAACCAACACAAGTAGACTTCTTATCCCATTGTAAAATTTTAATTTGGTTTTCATATGTCTTTGTCTACTTCTTGTTAGTGACACTAAGCGCTAGTGTCGACGAAATTTTGATTCAATTATTTTAGGGTTAATTTCATGATTTGTGCTTTACTGTTTGTGTTTGGTTAAATAACTAGGGGACGAGTTATTGATTATGATTAGATTGTTTTATTTGGTAAAACAAGGTTTTAAATCACTGAAATAACACACTGTGTACTTTTTGTTTCTTTCTGTCGCGCAGCACGGGTAAAGCAGCTAGAAATTTATAAAGACATATTATAAGATAGTTTAATACTTTATTCTGAAATGGCGACCATACAAATGTAGGTACTTTAAGCCAAGTATGAATGGAGATGAGTGTAGGATGAGTGGCGCGATCTTGTAGCCTTGTTATTGACTAAGGCATCATGTTCCTTAGACACAGCTGTCAATTAATAGCCCATACAGCCAATGGCAACTGAGAGACCTACAGTTTATAGTGGAATTCAAACCACATTTTTGCCTTGTAGTTTACGAATTGGTCCAATTGTCAGGATAGTACTGCGGATAGTCATAGTACTCACTATTGTAGGTGTTTATCCACACCAGGGTGTATCCACATTGCATGCCTGTATCCACAATTTGTGACCTTCTAATAGCTGGATTACAGCACGGCGCCACCGTCCCAGATGCTGCATCGTTGAAAAGTTGGTGTTAATGAAAGTATCAGTGTTATGCATCAGCACACTTTGGTACGATGTTTTTTTACCTAAGTTCTTTTTATGCTAAAACTGACATAAAACATACAGCAATATTGGTATGAAATGTCCTCTTTGCTATAAATCCATTCTTAGTCCCCCAAATTGCATACCACTCTTCTTGTTGTATAAATTCAATGAAAGAACATATATTTGTGTCAATAACATTTATTGCAGATAAATAACTTGATAAATAAAACATTTAAGAATGTATACCACCATTTGACGTATGCAAACATTTCAAAATAAGTTAAATGTTTGAAATAATAAGCTCTTAACACAAGCAGATAAAATGAACTTAAGATATTTGTTTTTAAACTACTACAGTCTAATGAATAGGGAATTCATCAAAGGAAAAACACAATTATTGATCTTTCACGATTTACTTTCATAAAAAATACATAAAAATACACACCTATATACAACATGCACAAATGACTTAGTAGGGGGGTCTCGGTTGAGAGTGGTTGGTTGGAGGGTAGTAGCCTGCAGGGTAAGTGTGGGGAGGTGGATTACTGGCAGGGTAGGTAGCGGGGAACTGTGCGGGTGGAGGACGGGTACTGAAGGCGGGTGGAGGCTGCGTGTACCCAGGGTACCCGTACAGTTCACCCGCAGACTTGCTGTCCGAGGCAGAAACCACCCCGCCAGTCACTGTGGGGATCTTCTCACCATTGCTGTTCAACTTCCCCTCACTCTTGATTGGTTTTGCAGACAACACTGTAAGAAAGATATAATTAAGCATTATTTTACAATCTTACTGTTGTGAGACAGTTTATTTCATAACACCTGTTAATTTCTATTAATTATTATCATATGTTTATTTGTTATTCTATGTTTGTATAAAGGTAAATAAAGTTAGTTGAGTTTGAGTTATGACATAAAACAGTGCATTCACTTAATTCTTAGTCAAATAGTACATGGTGGCAGCGGTTTAGAGCTATGCCTCAGAAGAGAAATCCAAGAAGGAAACAATCTGACTATGAAGATAATGAAAATGAAAGAAGCAGAGAAAATGAATACAACAATTCAACTAAGAAGTCAATCATTGTATCAAACACTCATTCAGTAATTCAACCTCCAGCTAGTTTCTCCTTTGTACCAGCAGATTGGCCAAGATGGAAAACACGATTTCAAAGATATCGGTCAGCATCTGGGCTATCTGAAGAGTCTGAGAACAAACAAATCAACACTCTTATATACACATTAGGTGAGAAAGCTGATGAGATTTTTGCATCTTTTAATTTAGCAACCGAATCAACGCTAACATTTGAAGAAGTCTTAGATTTATTTGACAAACATTTTATTCCACGGAGGAACTTAATTTTTGAAAGAGCAAAGTTTTTGAAGAGACAACAAAAAATTAATGAAACAGTTGAAGAGTTTATAGTTAGTCTCCATTCCTTGGCTAGAACCTGTGACTGGGGTTCACTTAATGATGAAATGGTGTTGATGGTACTAATACTGGGTTTAAATGATGAGAAACTTAGTGATCGCTTGTTGCTAGATCCCGAGATGAATTTAGACAAGGCCATTACAGTAATAAGACATGCAGATAACGTAAAGAAAGAGAAGGCAGATTTATGTGATGAGAAAAGAGTTCAAATTGAAGCAACTTCGTCATCGAGTTCAAACCAAAATCAAGGATATAGGTTTCGTCAAAAGAAACAAGAATACCCAGCGCAATGTATCTGGTGTGGTTATAAACCGTCTCATCCAAGAAGCACGTGTCCAGCAAAAAGCGCAACATGTAACTTATGCAAAAAGATTGGTCACTTTTCGAAGGTCTGCAGATCTAAAGAAGCACAGGAAGTAACTGATGAAAATGAAGTAAGTGAACTTGGACCTTCAAATAATAAAGTATTCATAGGTACACTTGGGGATGGGTCAAAATGTAAGCCCTGGAAACTAGAATTACTATTTGAGGGAAAGCCACAAACATTTAAAATTGATTCAGGGGCAGATGTAACAGTAATTCCCCCTGGCATAGTTGATCCAAGTAGGATCCAGCCGACTCTAGTTGAGTTGTTTGGGGTTGGTAGAACAAAATTAGAAACTGTAGGTTGTGTTAGAGCTAATATCCAATACAGAGATGTTAAAATAAATCACATGGTATACGTAGTGAAGGGACTCATAACACCCTTGCTTGGTCGTCCAGCAATACAGGACTTGAAAATTTTAACTTTTGTTAATTCAGTTGCAGAGGTAGACAGTGACTTTTTTACCAAATACCATGAAATGTTTAGTGGTCTGGGCGTCATTCCTGATCCCTACACAATAGCACTTAAGGATGGCGCAAAGCCATATGCAATAACCACTCCTAGGACAGTACCTTTACCCCTAATGTGTCAAGTGAAAAAAGAACTAGAAAGTATGGTCCAAAATAATGTAATCACACCAGTTGAGCATGCTACTGAATGGTGCTCAGCAATGGTAGTAGTGCCTAAATCTAATGGAGATGTCCGTATATGTGTTGACTTAACAAAGTTGAATGAATCCATCCAGCGGTCTTATCATCCGATTCCCAAAATTGAAACGTCTCTCAGCTCAATTTCAGGAGCAAAATGGTTTTCAAAACTTGATGCAAACAGTGGTTTTTGGCAAGTCCCCTTAAATGTAAATTCCCAGGATCTAACTACTTTCCTTACCCCTTTTGGACGTTTTAAATTTCTCAAACTTCCATTTGGAATCACATCAGCACCTGAACATTTTCAGAAATGCATGAACAAAATCTTAGACAACCAGTCAAATGTCGCAGTCCATATGGACGATATTCTGATTTGGGGCAAAACGAAAGAAGAACATGATACAGTTGTTCGGCAAGTACTTGAAAAGCTTAAAAATGTAGGAATGACACTTAACAAAGACAAAACTGAGTTTGGGAAGTCAAGTATTAAATTCCTCGGGCATTTCCTCTCATCCGATGGAATTTCTGTTGATAAGGAAAAGGTTTCCGCCATTCTCAAAATGGACTGCCCAAAAAACGTAAAAGAACTTCAAAGGTTCAATGGGATGGTAAACTTTCTTGGTAAGTTTATTCCTGACAAAGCTAAGATTTTGGCCCCAATGAATTCACTACTTCAAGCTAACGTTCCATGGATATGGGGTCCAGAGCAGGCGAAGGCATTTGATGAAATAAAACTCATTTTGACCAACTCTCCTTGCCTAGCTATTTACGATGTAAATCGGGAAACAATTATCTCATGTGATGCCTCGCTTCAAGGACTAGGATCAACTCTTTCTCAAGTTCAAAATGATGGTTCTATACGACCAGTATCATTTGCATCCCGAAGCCTTCTTCCTTCTGAAAAAAAACTATGCAAACATCGAGAGGGAGGCTACAGCTGTTGCTTGGGCATGTGAAAAGTTTCAAGAATTTATTATTGGCAAGAGAATAACAATACAAACAGATCACAAACCACTGCTTCAAATTTTGAAGTCCAAACATCTTGATGAATTGTCTCCAAGAATTCAAAGAATTCGATTGCGTCTCATGAGATATGATTTTTCAATTACTTATATTCCTGGAAAGCAGCTTCTAGTTCCTGATGCTCTTTCAAGAGCACCTCTCCCATTTTCAGGTACTGATGACCGTGAGTTAGAAGAAGAAACTCAAGCGTTTGTTCAAATGGTTTTGTCATCCATCGATATAAACGACTGCATAGTTGCTAAAGTATTGGAGGAACAAAATAAAGATCCGACTTTACGTGAACTGAAAAAAATAATCATCCAAGGTTGGCCTTCTAAGACATCATTGCGAGATGACCTAAAACCGTACAATTCGGTTAAGGATGAGCTAAGTGTTGATAATGAGATGATACTACGAGGTTCAAGACTTGTAATTCCGCCAGCTCTGCAGTCTTGGGCACTTCAAAGAGTACATGAAGGTCACTTTGGAATCACCAAGTGTCGTTTACGTGCAAAAGAGTCAGTCTGGTGGCCAGGAATTTCTTCAGCCATTGAAAGTATGGTGAAATCATGCCCTACTTGTATTAAACATTCAAGGAACAGTCATGAACCATTGCTTCCCACACAATTCCCTGACAGGCCATGGAAAACACTTGCGATGGATTTGTTCAAACTTGAAGGCGTTTGGTTTTTGACTGTGACAGATTATTACTCCAGATATTTTGAGATAGCTGAATTAGAGTCATTAACATCACGAGAAGTAATAATGAGATGCAAAGCCTTTTTCTGTCGACACGGCATTCCAGAAGAAATTAGGTCTGACTGTGGGTCTCAATTTCAAGTCCTTGAAAATTCAGATTTCAAGACATTTTCCAAAGTTTATGGCTTCAAGCATGTAACAAGTAGCCCAAAATTTTCCCAAAGCAATGGAGAGGCTGAAGCGGCAGTGAAAATCGCCAAAATGATTCTAAAGAAAAATGTGGAAGACCCTTATTTAGCGCTTCTAGCCTATCGAACGACACCCCTCTGGAATGGGTTCAGTCCCTCTCAGCTTCTTATGAACAGGCGATTACGGAGCACATTGCCTCAGACAGGACATTTGCTTTGTGGAAATCCAGATCTAAAGGATCTTAAAGGGAGAGAAGAAAGATATCGTGAGAAGTACAAACACAACTATGATAGAAGGCTCAAAGTGCAAACTCTCAATCCTCTTCATATAGGAGACCCAGTTTGGATTGTGGACCTTAGAAGACATGGCAAGATTGTGAAAATCCTGGACAGCCCTCGTTCATATATTGTTGAAACTGATAAGAGGAATGTGAGAAGAAATCGATTCCACCTCAAACTTGCCCCTTATTTAAGAGAGGAAAACAGTGAACAAAATTTGTCAGCGAATACATATCAAACAGAACCATACAACCGTCCAAAGAGAAACATGCAAAAACCAAGCTGGTTGAAGAACTTTCAAACTTAAAAGGGAGGATGTTGTGAGACAGTTTATTTCATAACACCTGTTAATTTCTATTAATTATTATCATATGTTTATTTGTTATTCTATGTTTGTATAAAGGTAAATAAAGTTAGTTGAGTTTGAGTTATGACATAAAACAGTGCATTCACTTAATTCTTAGTCAAATAGTACACTTACTTTCACTTATAATCCAATTCTTCCATCAACAATATTTAGAATACCTCTACTGCAGCAAACCTGCCGACTAAGCAAATTCCAATTTGCCTGATCAGTGATCTGATATATTCCCATTAACAATCATATGATATTCCCTATTTAAATAGCATTGTGTTTAACGGATACTTAGGTTTGCTACTTTGGTGACGGGAAAAAGTTTCCCTAGTTTTATCAAATGTTAATAGTATAGGATGAAAGAGATAAATCTACCAACATTTATCAAAATCAAAATCTATAATACAAATGGTATTGTGTAGACAAAACTGTAATTTTATTTACCTACCGTATATAAAATTTAATTATATTAAATTTAACTGATATATCTTACTGTATAAGATTTGCGTTTTCTGTCCGAGTTCCACTTGTTAGTTTATACTTAAAAAATGTTAACACATTTGAGCAAACCATCATGAATTGTTCTTGATTTACGTTGTTTAGTTATCAATAGTTTGAAGCCTATGTATTGTAAATTACCACAATTTTTTATTTAAATTGTCTTTAGCACTTAATTTTATATAGTAGGCACTTTATATAGTTTCTGAATAGTTTAGAGTATTGGGATTTAAACCATTGTTGTCAATATTAGACCTATGTTGATATTTTTACTATCATTATTGGAATAGATTAACTAAAAAGACGGCCAAATGTTATGTTGTATGGCATGGACACTGATTTGCTTGTATTGATAACTCTTCCATTTTAAAAACAAGTAGTTTAATTATGCTAACAGTTAACTGGACAAATGTATGGAAAACTTTATTACATCATTTGTAAATCATCGATAAGGTTAAAGGTATAATTCAGCTTTTTCTGTTTGCATATGCCAAAAAAGGCTGTGATAGAGCTACTTCTTCTATTTCTCTTGGTGTGGGATAAATACAATTTTTAGAAATTGTTATTTAAAAAAATTAAAAAACCAAGCACAAGCGTCAGTTACAGAAAGATGCTTTGAAAGATGAATTCGAATTGAAAAGAATTTAGGAAGATTTTGATTTGCAGCTGCATGGAGAAAAAAGTTATTACACAAAAAAATCATAATATAGGATGATTATCATTCCAATAAATAAATACGGCACTTAATAATATACAAAAATAAAATGTAATCTAATGTAATACTAATAATAGTGTAATAATAATAATATTTTTAACACTCTGTTGATGACTCAATTCAATTGTAAGTGACTGAGTTTATTCTAAACTGGCAAAAATATTATAATGGAATTTCCAGTTCTGTCCACAGTAGTAGGATTACCTGGAGGAGGTCCTGCGGGAGAGTTGTGGGCGGGGAAGGCCAGTGAGGGTGCAGGGCTGGCTAGAGCAGGAGGGGGATGACGCACTAACGGGGGCGAGTCCTGGGGCTGGGGGTTGTTCTGAGAGTACAAGTCCAGCACTTGATGGCAGATGTCTGAAACATACGTGCATAATAAAACAAGACTATTTTATAACCAGTTCTAGACAGTTAAAACAATTGCTTAACTTAACATGTTGGATACTGAAACATTAAAGGTTTTATTATTCTCAAAACACAAAATACAAACCATGTTTAAAGTAAAGAATGAATCAAATTATTTACTAGCACTTAAAACTCAAGTTTATTACAAATTGCAGAAAGCTGTGGGAAGATTGAGCGGTTGAAAATTTACAACGTTACCGAGATCACAGAAGACGATCGTGATATAAATGGCTCTAATGGATAGGAGGATTTTGTGGGTTGAACCTCTAATCAGACATGCTACTGTCAACGTACTACAGTACATTCCACAAGAGTCTGCAGTTGAGGGAGGAGCCTATTTACCACGTGACTTTGAAGGAGCCAATAAGCATAGCACGTTGTTGCCAAATTGATGCTAATTCAAGGTTGGTTCTCGGTACCAGTACTTTTCTTAAGAACTGATGGTAGTAAAAATTATCTTAAACTTGTGTGATAAACTAAACATCACTTGTAAAATAAACATAGGACATAAAACAATAGGTTTTGGTAGGTACTTAGCTGCTATACCTTCTAGTAGATCCATAGTGATATCTTCTACAAACATGTCCCACCATCGCAGGTGCTTGCTTGTCCGGCCCATCCAGTCAACCACCTCGAACTTGCTCAGTTTACCAGCCAAGTACATCAGCGCCACAGCAATCACCTCCGGCTCCCACTGGAGACTCAAGGTTGTACACAGGCTGCAGAACAAACAATGGCATACATTATTTATAAATGTTATCTACACATATCCACTGATGATTGACATGACTGCCACTTTTTAATATGTATAAAAATACACAAAAAGTTAATAAAAAATTAAAGTATTGGTTTTTTTAATTTTTTATGTTTACACTACAATCCGTTTAAAATATTGTAAATTTACATTTCACACAGTTACAGCAAAATCAATAATTCTGCAGTCACCCAGACATTGTCGTCATCTGTCAACATATCGACAAAATTGGGACTGTCTCCTGTGGTTGCGCAGAAAAATCAAAAGCATCTACTGTGGTTATGGTGAAATCATGAACGTATCCTTCAATTACGGCAAAACCATGAATTTTCGACCACACAATCTTTGTAGGGATGATTTCTAGCCATTCGCACACCTCTAATAAAAATTACTCTACCCGTGCTTGGCCCAAAAATTACTTCAGCCCCGAACCGAGCACTGTTAGTTGGTCCGTCCCGTCCTAGAATTTGGGGAACCACGGCAGACCCCTAGTTTTTTTGGAAGTTAATGGTCAAAAACTTTGGTCCTGTTACCATCAGTTACCTGTTAACTTACCAAAGGTCTGTGACCTTTCAACCTTTTTTTGTGGATCAATGTGGGATTTAAGATACAGTAGCACCTGGGTTTGTAAGATAAACAAATTACTAGGCTTATTAATTATTAACATATTTTATCTCATGTTAACTAAGATATGTTGTGCTTAAGTGGTAAAAAGCACTTAAGATGTTTGTAAACTTATTAATGCCCAAATTAACATCACTTATCCTACATACCAAAATTGACATTGCTCATCAATATTTATTTGACTGTTGTTTTTCTTTCATATTTCTCATTTTACATTAAAGACTAATCATATTTTGTTGAAATATGATTGGTAATCAAGTAATTAGTAATTAATTAGTAATCATATAAAGGTAATTTTGAAAAGTATTCTTAAATTAAAAAAAAAAAAATTAATGTGGTTTATATTGAATTTTCTGCACCCAGAGTTGTTTAGACAACCAAATTGGGTGTAAGTGAATCAAAAAATTCAACTCAACTTACCTGTCATTAACGAATGTCCATGCCATCTGAACCATTTTATGCAGCTTGGCTTTGTCTCCTGTATACATTTAACAGTGCTTCAATTATTAACAAATAGGCTACTCTACAAAAACTACTTAGGTTTGGCATATTACAATTAATTTGTAAGTTATACTTCATTACCAGAAAGTTTAAGGGCCGCAAGAAATCTGTTTCTTAAAACTGAGTTCTAAATTAGGCTAGGTACAACACTGACTTGTGAGTTTCTGAACCCAGATATCTGTAAGCTTTCTGTGGGTTTGGAATTAAACTCAGACACATTAGTCATCGCGATTTTAACTAGGCCTATCGACTAAAAACTCAAGGATTGTCTCAAAATGTGTAAATTAACATTTTATTTCTATTGTCCTACTGTTTACATGAAAATATATCAATAACATTTTTTTCATAACCTACGGTTATAGAAACTTTTTATTTCCACAATCAATTACATCGTTTTAGACTAAATAGTAAAATATTTTATTTAATTGTTTTGGATTAGCTGTTTGAAATTAATTGTGAAATAAAACATGTGGCAGTTCTGATCAACGCAAAGGTAAACATTGTGAATTTTATTATGCTTCCATAGAGACCATTTATTAATATTTACTTTTGTAAACCTCACCTCAAAACTTTGGACATACATTGGGCGTAGCCCCAGAGGAACTCAGGGAAGTGAATATGCCTATGACATTCCTAGATATGTGGTGGACCATCTTTGTACTTAGTTTGGGCTGTATCGGTTTAGTATTTTAGTCATGACAGCTGCCCAGACAGACAGACAGAGGGACAAACAGACAGATACCACCTCAATTTCATAATAGTATAGACTGTAGTAGTCAAACACATGAGAATTAAAAAATACCCCCGCCGCAGCAAACCTGCAGACAAAGCGAATTTCAACTTGTCTGATTACATTATTACTCAAATATTTCCATGAATAAGACATATTTATTCTCAGTTTAAATAACATTAGATTTAACGAGTGCTTAGGTTTGCTGCTACAGGGAAAGTAAAAAGTGTTTTTTGACCATACGTCAATAGTATAGGATGAAATAAATAAATTTGCCAAATTTTATCAACACATATCCATAAACAAGTACCGGTAAACTACAACAGTTTTCATTTTCTCCATAAGAATAACATGGGAATTTTAAATTAAACTATTTTTGAATTTCCTCTGTGTCCGTTAGGCAAACAACAGCGCTTCAATATACTAAATTATTTCTTTTTTTAAGCTCTACAAAATGGTTTAAACAAAATTGCAAAATGTTTTGTTTTTAGGGTCAAAAATGGGAAAAACCCCATTTTTACCCCATGAAACCCCCCATAAACCCCCGCTCCCATGGTCCGATTATGCTGGTTCGCGAACTCGTTTGAATAAACGATGGTTTACACGTTTGTACCAAATTTCATTAAAATCGGATCATTTTTGCTCAAGTTATTGTGCTAACGGACACATATATATATATATAAATGTTACTCTTGTTAATGGCAAGAGTACTGTAAAATTTCAGGGTACTGAGTTAATATGATTTCTTTATTATAAATATATACAGGGTGTTTTTTTTAAAACTTGCATCTTTATTTATGTAAAAACCGCAATAGATAGAAATATGCAGTTTGCAGGAATCATCTATTGACGTAGGGGGGCCAATTGTTTTGAATTCAACGTTACATTCACATTCCCCCCCTTTCCCCCCCTGCCCCCAACTTAATTTTTTTAAATAGCAAGGTACCTCTTGTGACATATCAAATAAAAGAGCATGAAAAAAGAAAATGTTTGATGAAAAAAAATTGAAAATCGGTTCATAAATTTGTGAGATATTCCCCCCCTTACCCCCCCGGAACTTAATTTTTTTTAATAGCAAAGTACCCCTTGTGACATATCAAATGAAAGAGCATAAAAAAAGAAAAATTTTGGTGAAATTTATTTTGCATTTGATATGTCACAAGGGCGGGTACCTTGCTATTAAAAAAACAAGTTATGGGTAGGGGAAAAGGGGGGTGATTATCTCACAAATTCATGAGCCGATTTTAAATTTTTTTTCACCAAAAATTTTATTTTTTGATGCTCTTTCATTTGATATGTCATAAGGGGTACTTTGCTATTAAAAAAAAAAAAAATAAGTTCCGGGGGGGTGAGGGGGGGAATATCTCACACATTTATGAACCGATTTTCAATTTTTTTTTCATCAAACATTTTCTTTTTTTATGCTCTTTTATTTGATATGTCACAAGGGGTACCTTGCTATTTAAAAAAAATAAGTTGGGGGCAGGGGGGGAAAGGGGGGGAATGTGAATGTAACGTTGAATTCAAAACAATTGGTCCCCCTACGTCAATAGATGATTCCCGCAAACTGCATATTTCTATCTATTGCGGTTTTTACATAAATAAAGATGCAAGTTTTTAAAAAAACACCCTGTATATAGGCCTATATGAATTTGAACGGATGATGTTTTTGGCCTCTAGGGACCTCAAAACAAAAAATTATATCGGTCCCGGGTCCAGGTCTTATCATGAGTACTATGGTAATAGCTTATTCCCTATATGGGAAATTCGGTAAAACATCTTCACTCAAATTTACTAAGTAGATAAAAACTTGTACGGTAAGTAATCTCATAGTTATGGCCTATTTCAAATAACTTCACTTTCGCCTCCCAAAAACTTGTCTTGAAGCTACTAGTTTGATGATGGATTGGCCTCTGGATTGTTTCAATTAACTAAAGAAAGAAGGTATAAATTATTTGATTACTGTCAAAATGTTATGTTTAGTGTCTTGTTTCCTGTTACCTATTTAAAACTTCTGACAAGCTTCACTATGAGTAATTTGTAAATACCAGCTGACATTCTGATCTGATGATGCGCTCAATTCACAGCATGAAACAGCTGCAGTCATCCAAAGTACACAGGATCAATTTGACAGCAACAAGTTAATTTAAACCTTCTTTAGCTACCGATGTGGTCTTGTTTCTACACATGAGATAAGTAATTTCTGAACATATTTGAGCATTATTTTCCTTCAAACCAACTTATTAAACATACTTGCAACGCTTGGGAATAAAAATTCTACATTCAACTTGACAAACTTTATAAGACATACAATATAAGGTTTGCATAATTTGAAATTTATTATAGAAACTATGTTTTTATACACCTTAAAAACATTTTAGGTAAAAATTAAAAACAGAAGTTTAGATTACCTTTCAAACTTTTAGCGTACTTAAGAAGAAAGCTGTAAGGATGTTCAACTTGAAGATCAAATTTGATTGTCTGAAGTAGAATCCTTTCTAGAGTCATTACTTCTTCCTGTAAATAATTATTTGTATTGAAAAACTAAACAGAACATATAGGTAAGTAGAAGTGACAAACTTATGCCATTTAGTATTGTTTGTACTGTAATAAATAACTGTGAAGGATCCTTCTAGTCAATTATAAAAAATGAGTTGACTGTGGATTGCTTGGGTTCCAAAATGAATAGGCCTATGGACCGCTCTAAGTTTAAGTTTTGTTGTCTAGTGACGTTTATTTGATATCACAAATATTATATCTACCAGAACGAGGTGACAAAGCAAGAAGTTACTTTCTATTTCTTATTGGACACGGATTAGACCCTTATTATCAACATGACCTGATAAAAGAGTAAAATCCACAACAAAAAGAAGAATGTGGTCAAACAAATAGTGGCGTAACTAATTTTGGCAAAAAATCACTTGTACTTTGTGTTTAAAAGTGTAAGCAAACTAACAATAATAAATACCCCCGCCGCAGCAAACCTCAAGACTAAGCGAATTCCCATTTGCCTGATTGGGGTTTTCCTAAAATAACTTATCTCCTTAAAAATGTCATATTTATTCCCTATTTAAATAACATTAGTTTAAGGAGCCTACCGTACTTAGGTTTGCTGCTAAAGGGTAGGCAATAAGGTGTTTTTGACCAAACATTAATAGCATAGGATGAAATAAATTTTCCAAATTTGATCAAAATTTGTTTAACCTATAAACAAGCAAACTACAACAGTTTACTTATTCTCCATAAGAATAACATGGGAATTTTAAATTTACAGTTTTTAGGTATTTTCTCCGTAACCGTCAGGTGTACAACAATGCTTTATTATACTAAATTATTTGTTCCTTGTGCTCTACAAAATGGTTTGGAAAGAAATTGAAAATTTTATGTTTTTAGAGTAAAAAACTAGCGGCTTGTAGGGGCAATAGCCCCTTTATATGTATATAAATATTCTAGTAATTATTTTGTACAAATTATTAGTCTAATGGGTTACCGTATCCTACCTTGAATTATCGTTTAACATTTTTGTATATTGTAATGTGTTAAATAGTTATTACATACATGCATAATGCTTTTTGATGTCTGCTCTGTTTAAAATAAAAATTCCAAAAGACTGATCATGCGTGTGTTTATAATATAAACTTTGTAATCATAATACAACTAAGGAACATTTACAATAATCTTCATGACTATTAATTAAATATATATAAATTTCTTTGAATATAGACAAATTCATTTAGATAAAACACAGATATAATGTCATCCTCCAAATTGTAAAATGCCAATTCTATAACAAAATCTCTCTGGAAACAGCATTTGTTGTATTGTATCCATTTTGGTTGATTCCTTGGTCTTTATTTCGTTCTAGTACTATTTTAACGTCATCTGGCCGCTTTACCTGGCTAAAAGCAACATAAAGTTGACCATGGGTAAACACGGTTTTTCCTTTTTTTCAAATAAATGCCAACTTTTGTGAAGGTTTGACCTTGCCCTTTAATAATAAGTAATAGTGAAAGCTAATTTTGATGGATATTGAATCCTTGTAAACTTAAACGTAATATTAGGATCTGTAGATAGTAGTTTTATTTTTGGCATAAAAAATATGTTCCCTTTGCCTACTCCAGTAATTACTTTTAACTTTACATTTTTTTCAGACATACCGAACACAACCAGTCGTACTCCATTAACTAATCCAGACCCTTAAAATTGGGAAAAAGTCTATATCAGCTTTTTAATAGTATACATTACCATATGTTTTAAATAAAGTTAAACCACATGTTTTAAAGTAAACAAAGCAGACATGACCTAAATTCCCATGCTATTTAAATGTGAACTATTTTACTCCGTAACGACCTTTTTGTAAAAAATTAAGAAAAATGAATAATTTTCCCCAAAATTTCATGCCGAGACCTTTAAAATGAGACCTTTCCCAGCTTTCTACGGCCTCCCGTTCGCTCACAATTTCATTGTAAAATTTTGGGCTTACGGAATTAGATATATAGATAAGGAGAACCCATTTATGGCCCATAAACCCCAGATGGTACCCATAGTCAGATCGATAATGTTGGTTCGCAAACTCGTTCGAATAAATGCAGGTTTACATGTTTAGGCCTATACTAAATTTCATCAAAATCGGATCATTTTTGCTTGAGTTATTGTGCTAACGTACACATAAATATATAGCCTACTGTAGACGGTATATGAATTTGAACTAGTTGTGGTTTTGGCCTGAGGACCTCACTATAAAAAAGTAAATCGGTCTCGGGTCCAGGTCTTACCATGAGACCTACGGTAATAGCTTATATGGGAAAATTGCTAAAAGACTAGTTTGTGCAGATTATTTGCACACATTTGAACTTACCCTCGGATCTTCACCAAATGTAGCAAATTTTTGTTCTGTTAGGAGGCTTTTGGCAGTCTTAATGATATCTTTGCACTTTTTTGGTGTTTCTTCAACCTTCCCAGCTAAAAATAAACAGCAACATGCTGTCACCTGAAAATTAAAGATAATGGTTAAATTAAGGATGTAAAGTAGGGCACAAGAGCCAAGGTTTTTAGATTTTTTGTGAGGATAGCAGGCTTACCTGACTGGGAAAGAGTCCAAACTGGCACAAGAGACACAGCACTTTACACAATATACACAAAATATTATAATTTTTTCACTGTCACTGACAGCATTTCCAACTAAGGAAGAGAGCTTTTTCCAGGTCGAATAATGGTGGCCAGTGAGTTATTGAGGGAGTACAATGAATATAAACCATATAAGAAGCCAAATTCTTATAGATAATAATCAGACTAGAATTTTGCCCCCGAAATGAGCTTTGCACGGAAGCCGCACTATTCTATCTCTCTCTCACTAAGCCGATTCTTTGTCTCACTCTCTCTCACTCAGTCAGCTGACTTGGCCGCGATAGTAGTGCCTTTGCTAGCTAGCGGCCGCTGCGGGAAATATCCGAAGTTCAACTATTCCCAGACTAAATTTTTAACATAAGCATTGCGCTTCTTATAGGGTTTGTATCATTGGACAGTGTTGCCAAACGTAAGTATAAAAAAACAGTGCTTTTCATTATACTTATAGGCCTGGCACCTGGCAGTCAGAGCCGGTCTTGGGTGGTACAGGGCCCAGTGCAAACATTCTGAGCGGGTCCCTTACAACCAAAAACATAGTTTAACTTACCAACAATACTAAAACAGTCTCAATGTATAGTATCTATAGCCTACATAATTAGTATTTAAGCTTCCCCCTATTTCTTTTTCATAATTTACATAAAATTCAAGGACTTTTTAAAATTATTGTTGTACATTGCATCAAGCATGGGGCCCTGTGCGGCCGCATCTTTTGCAACTGCTTAAGGCCGGCTCAGCTGGCAGTATTAAATTAGGCTGATGTTCCACCAAAAGTAGCCTAAATATATCCTAGGTATGGTATTTAAACTGTACATTAACATGGGTGATAGTAAAATTTAATTATTAGGTGGTCCTAACCTGTTGGACTGATCCCAACAAATTATTAATTCCGTGAGTTGTTCGACCTTAAAAACTAAAAAATATTTAAAACACAGATTTCATCAGAAATGAAAACATTGTGCGATTTACTTAAATATCAATGCACTAGCCTATTCTATAAATTTAATGTTAAGCTTACATAGCGAGGAAAGTTTCTGAAAGAGTGGTACATGTAGAATCTATGGAAGTAAACAACGCCTGTAGCCATGGTATTGTATCCTAAGTCCATTTTGGTTCCTGTGTCAATAATGAATCTGGCCCCTTCTTTCCTGTATCGGCACTCGGTATCATAGTCAATGCCATCTTGGATGGATGGTGTGTTTCTTAATTCTTTCTTCTCAAAGTACCAACACGGCATATTGCTGTTGGGGTCTGAAACACACACGGAAACCATAGACATATAAGTTAGGCCTAAGTAACTTAATTACAGCAAATTGGCTTCACAAAACTGGACCAAGATTTTCTGTTTTCCTCAGCTTGTACAATGGTGGTATAAGCCTATAAGGCCTAAATATAATTTTTCATTGGAAAGGCATAATAGCAGTGTAACTAACTTACTTTTGGTGGTTTGTTTGTAAAATAGGCTAACCTAGCTTTTCTTTTAACTTAACTTAGGCTACCCATTTGTATCGAATTCTGAAATTTTCAGTAGGCTACATGCAGTCAGTTAAGGTACAAATCACATACTTTTTTATGAAAAAAATTCAAGGGGACCTATTTTGGTAATTTCAAAAAACGTTTTTGAATTTTTTTCAAAATGTGTTTGACATTTGTTTAACATAGGCATGTGACATATTAAAATAAAGGGCATTTCAAATTAAAAAGAATGCCACAAATTTGAACTCTCTAAGTGGAATAGTTTTTTAGTTATACAATATTAACGATTTCAAAACGTGGCTCGAAAACATTTATTTTCGGATTTTAAAGCTTCGCAACTCAAAAGCCAAAAGTCAGAAAAATCTAAAAATTTATATTTTTACTAGTCTTGGTTAGTAGAACCTGCATACAAAAAATCAAGCAAATCTAAGAAGTCAAGGTCCAGACCATTGGTTGATTTGGCATGGAATGACCCTAGGCTACTTAAGTTTAGTATAATTAGGCCCTAAGTTAGGCCTACCCATCTTATGTGAGTTGTAAGTTAGGCCTATATTAGCGGTGGCCCTGCCTACGAATTGACAGGCAAAGCTCTCTCCAAATAGCCTACTTTAGGCTACACTGTTTAACACTCGGTTAGCATTCTGGGTAATAGTAAGTTAGTAGTTTTCTGTGATTAGACGCAGAATATTAACAATTTAGGGTGTTTACTCAATGTAGATTTAAGGTAATTTAGGGTAAAAAATTGCAACAACATGGTGGCAAACACGGCACCGGTTTCACCAGTATAGATTGAGAAGCACAAAACAAAATAAACATAGGCCCTATGTCTAGGCCTAGGCTGTCTTCACATAGCCTAGGCCTATGTTAAAAGGAATATTCAGACTTAACACAGCTTTACACACACCCATCACCTTCGTAAAACTATATATATAAACGAACTATGCCTAATTAGCCAGACCCTCAATTAAAAATGTTAATCCTACAATAACTTATTCTTACCCATCGTTTTTATTATGAAGAACGTAATACTTTCTTGAAAGCTTTTGTTATGAAACACAACGTTCAAAAACTGACTAATGATGGGAACTGACACCTGAAACCACAAAACAAAAGAAACAATTCAATTCAAATAAATTGTATTTAAAAAAAATATTTTTAGGTTAGGCTAAGGCTATGTTAAATAATTGTATTTGTAGTATGGATTATAACTTTTTTCACGTTTCACGACATGATGATCTTGGTGGCCGTGACGGGTATTTACTCAGGGGAGGTACGGAAGAGGCTACGATGACAGCTGTGGGCTTCTTATTAGCTGAGGGAACGCTATTACCATAACAATACGGTTTGTGAACAACGGCTTCGGTGGTCTAGTGGTTAGCGTGCCGGGCTGGCGTACTATAGGTCCCGGGTTCGAATCTCGCTGGTTGCATTAACTCTTTGTCTCAGATTTTTTCATTATCAGCAAGTTTGGTTGGTTTGGTTCGGTTATGACAGTTTAATTTGATTATTAAGTCATTATACAATTTTAATTGAGCAATTTCTAGTTTTATTTAATAAACATAAAATTATTTTTTCTATTACTAATCTTTTTTATATTATTTAATTATCAGCAAGTTTGGTTAGTTCGGTTAGGTTATGATAGTTTAATTTTATAATTAAAAAATTATAAAATTGAATTTGAGGCATTTATAATTTTATTTTATGAACAGAACTATTTTTGCGAATAGTAAACCTTCATTGACAAAGTGCTCTCTACTACAGCGCTGTTCGCGGAGGAATTTTGAACTAAATGCCTCATTCGTACCTCCCCTAAGTCAGACCCGGCCGTGACGAGATAGCTCTGTTCTGTTCTGAGATCGAGAGTCGACCTTAGCTTAGCTCAGTGAGGGTCGAGGAGACAGATACCACTAAACCATTGATTATACATGTACAATAACAAAAACTGACCGAAATAAACGAGCTCATGGGCTCGTAATTAATTGATCTATCAGAATAATGCCATGGTCGGAAAATGAGTTAGGGTTAAAAAAACACATTTTGTCCGTGTGGTGAACTATCTTTTTCGTCACATTGCATCATTATTAACAAACTTAGCTAGAAAACGAAACAACGTTTATATGTAAAGATAAACTCTCAAAACGTCTTCCAGGTTGCTTGCAATTATGCTAAGAGTATACATAGGCCTACCCTCGATGTGTCAAGCGCTCTACGACATTAGGCTAAAACCACTGAGCGACTGAGCTATAATTCTAACTGGAGGTAGCACTGAATGTCAAAGATGCGTGTCGCCAGCCACCATGTTTGCGTGAGGTGTGAGTTATAAAGAAGCCATGTTATTGGATAAAAAAAAAAACTCACTGCTATACCAACCTAGTTTTAGAAGCCATGTTATTGCTATGATAAGAAAACTCGCTGCTATACCAACCTAACAAAATCAACGATCACGCTTTCGACAGACTTCTGCCATATGGCAGTGCTACCTCCAGTTATAATTTTAGCTCAGTGGCTAAAACCGTCCTTAACAAATCAATCGATAAATAATTTCGATCGATACGATTGCCACAATTGAAATTTACAACTGTTTACAACAGAATGATTTTTACTCCCTTCTCTAGAGACTAAATACCCCCACCGCCGCAAACCTGCCGACTAGGCAAATTTCCATTTGTCTGAAATTGATTTAGAATCAAATCTATTTAAATAACATTAGGTTTAACGAATAGCTAGGTTTGCTGCTACAAGGAAACTAATAAAGTATGTTTTTTAGTAAAATATTAATAGCTTAGTACAGGGTGACTGCTGGGAACCAGACGTTTTTTTAAATGAATAGTAAAACCTTATTTTATATAGTAAAATGATTTAATTGTTGAATATATATTGGTGAAAACATACCATTTCAAAAAACATATGTTTTATAGAACCTTTTATCCTAGTTTGGGTTTATTTCTTAAAGATGATATCATGCATGTGATGGCCGTTAACCTGGATACAGGTTTCCAACCTCTGTAGAAAATCATTACACACTCTCATCAACATGTCTTGTCCAATCAAATTCACCTCTTCGGCGATTGCATTTTTTAGCTGCAATAATGTTCGTGGTTTGTGAACATAGACACCGAGCTTTCAAATACCCCCATAAGAAATAGTCACAGGACGACAAATCTGGTGACCTTGGCGGCCACGGCACGTCACCAAAACGTGAAATCAACTTGCCAGGGAACATCTTCTTCACAACTCGCATCGATGCAGCGGCAGTATGCGCTCGCGCTGTGGTGTAAACACAGCACATATCTTGGTGTCATGTTATCTTGTTGGAAGTAAACATTTTTCACGTTTATTCCTCGCCTCCGAAGTTGTGGCTTGAGATGTTTCCAAAATGTGAACATAGCGTGCAGAATTCACTGTCACTGTGACTCCATTTTCCTCAAAAAAATACGGACCAATTATTCCAAAGTGGCCTACAGCACACCAATCCGTTACTTTTGGAGAGTGGAGTGGTTTTTCATGAAAGTTACATGGATTTTCAGGAGCCCAATATCGTAAGTTTTGTTTGTTCACTGAACCGTTTAAATGAGCTTCGTCGCTTATTAACATCATTACATCAGGATTATCAGTAAACAACACCTGCATACGTACTGCGAAATCTTCTCTTTGTCCATAGTCCCTCTCTTTCAGTTGCTGTACCACCTGTATTTTGTAGGGATGAAATTTCAAATGTGATTTTAAAATTATTCTGACAGAATCGCGCTTCATGCGTAGCTCTGTGCGTGTCTTCGTGCAGAGCGACCCGGGCTCCTCATCAAAGCAGTTCTCACTGTGGCGATGTTGTCTGGTGTTCTCACTGTTCTTGCTGGACCGGATGGCTTTTCTTTGATACTGTTCCTGTTGTTCTGAACTTGTGCACCCATCTTAGCAATGTATTCCGGCTTGAAACCGTGTCATTTCGCGCAATATTAAAGTGGCGTCGGAAGATACGCTGTGTTTTGATAACGGATTCGCCATTTTTAATAAATGTGTCATATGCAAAAACACGATGCTGAACTGACCACTGGGGCCCTATTTTTGAAATGGTTGACTGTTGAGTTGAGTGTCGAGTCATTCTATTTCCAATCGTTTCGTATTTTTGAAACGGTTGACGGTGGACTTATACAACCAAAACTACTCAACACCTATCGAGCTGTTGAGTGGAGGTTGACTGCACTTTCTTCTTCCTCTCTTTCGGCAAAAAATTACTCTTTTTGAGACGACGCCATATTGTTTTGTTATTGCTTTAATTTACTAATTGCGATTTAGAGGTTATGTATTTGTTGTCAATGTATTAGCACCCAATTATGCGATTGTTTTCTGTAGAATAATCGCATTTTAATTTTATTTACTGTGTCAATACTAGACTATTTAATCAAGGGTTTTATTCTTGTTGGAATGTTTGAAATAGACTAGGCATACTAATTGAACTTATTATAAGATAATTAATTGTTATTAGACCTATGATTTATTAAGGATTGTGGTAGAGAGAAACAATATCATAGTTTGTTTGAATACCATTCGCCTAATAAAGGGATCAAATTAATTTAAGTTACGATATGCTTTCAGTGCAATGGCAAATAGCCGCTTTAACCTAAATAAAAAACAATTAAAAATATTATAAAACAACCAGATGAAGGAAACTAAAATAAGGTGATGTGTTCCGAAATAGAGACGAAGAAAGCAAATAATAATGTATTTAGGATGAGTGTAGGACCTAAAGTAAAGTGCAGCCTATGCCTAAACTTTTAATTAGCTACACCCTAAAACAAACATCCATAGTAAATTTTATTTTTTATACTTAAGTTTATTACTTTATTTAGTTTACTTTAGTTAATTACTTAAGTTAAGGTACTTTGCAATCACTAAGATTAAGCAAGACATAACCTCAATCTCAATCTCTCAAGAACGGAGTTGACAGTTTACCTCAGTGTCTCGAAATATGGCAGATTGAGATTAGCTGCCAGATTTTAGAGAGTAAGAAGAGGTTAAATCGCGAGCGTTTCGGGGCAGGAATTGGACTAGCCTACTGCGCATGCGCAAACCGTAAAATTGAGCTGATCTCAAATGAACGACTCTCACACAATTGAAGCAAAAGAGTTGTTTACTGTTCTCGTTCTGTCGTTCTGTCATCATCTCTCTGCCCCTGCCGTGCCCCAGCGATTGTAGTTTTCAAAGTCTTTAAGCTGTGTTTTTTTTTTTTAAAATAATTTGAGGTTTTATCGAAGTATCGTATATGTTTTGAAGTCGGATTTAAGATTTAAGTGTATAAAAGAGTGTTTATTGTTATGCGTTCTACCGTGCCATCCCCGTGCACCCTTGTAAGTTAAAGTTAGTTTTTATAATGTAGGCCTAGTCTTTAAAAGTGTTTGTTGTGTTTTGTTCCAAGTGTTGTCCAAATAAAACAAGGATACAGTTTCTTAACTGGGCTACACTAATAACGATTGAAACTATCGATTCGATTAGTAAACTGCGATTTTTTCACCATCAACAAGTTAGGTTAGGTTATGACAGATTAATTTTATAATAGACATTATATTTTAAGATATCGATTATTAATCAAGATTTCAATTCGATAGTTCCAATCGATATTAGCGTAGCCCAGTTAAGAAACTGTTGTACCCCTGTAGGGTCACACAGTTAGGACTACAGTACCGACATTTCCCATAAACATTGCAAAAGGACAAATCTTATAATTATATAACTGTCTAGGCTGTGTGGTAAAAGGCACTTAAAAATAAGTTACCAAGCGGTGTAACTTTTGTATTAGAAACCCTTGGGTGAGTTGTATAAAGGCCTACTAATCTTTAGGTTGACACATTTAAACCTATAGCCTGTAAACCATTATCTGTTTGGAAAAAAGTCTATGTCGTAGACTAAATATGGTCCTTAAGCCAATTAAATGTGTAGGCTAGGCTAACTAACTAACATTTAAATAACTTAGGCCTTGGCTAGGCTTTGCATTACCCTGGCGTAGGACGACCGTGAAGACAGCTATCGCCAGCTGTCGACCCTACATTTTTTCCCCTCCCACAACGACTTCCCCTCTTCTCCCTCTCGACCAATCAGATACCGCCTAGCTTAGAGTAGTACAGTCGATGTTCAAAAAAGAGACCTCGCATATGCAACTACCTACTACGGATAATTTACAGATTTCC